GGGGGGGGGGGAGGGGGAACTCACTATGTTCCCTGGAGAACATTCCTGAACTCCCGCAGCGGGGCAGGAAATGCGAAACAAATTAATGAACGGAAGGGTAGTAGGGAAGCGGGTAGCAGTAATAGTTACTGGTGCTGTATATGGAGCTATTAGCTGGCGGATGTAAACAGAGGCACGGTGGAGGAGGATGGCCGGGTAAGGGTAGTTCTGTGGCAGGGTCATAGACGGGTCGGCGGCGAAGAAGGGAGGGGGCGTCGGCGTTGGCGTCGGCGTCGACAGGACAGTGTTGCGTTACCCCGGCCAACGGGGGTGTGTCTCACCCTCCCCCTCTAGACTCTCCCGCCACCCCCGAGCGCTGCCCGCGAATCAATACAGCTACCGACCGCCGCCCCATTTTCATCCCACTTCATCCCCTGCGTTTCATCTTCGTATACGTATTTCCATCCCTGTCCCCTCAGCCCCGCTCTAGTCCTCATTCCTACATACCGATTCCATTCTCATTCCCGAGCCTACTACCCTTAAACCCTCGCATCCCCTTTTCTTAAGGTCACCCCCCCCCCCCATCATCGCAACCCCTATCTTTCTTTGTCCTACGTCACGTTTCCGTGCCAATTCCAAACTCCCGTCCTTCTCGATGCTCCCCTCCCATGAGTATATCGGGGGGTGGCTGTCCTTACCTTCTTAGGGAAGTACGCGGGTCGAGGGTTGGCAACCCCCGACCTTAGGTACGGTTCGGTCTCCTTTTTATTTGATCTCGCTCGCCGCCTCAATCGTTCCAAGGCTGAACGTGAGCTCTCACGGCTCCGATCCAGGTGAACTTGGCGAGAATGGAAGCGAGTGGGTGCACGAGGGGGGTCATAGCTGGCTCTCGGCCAAGTCCTCAAGCAGCTCACCCAGTTTGTCTGACATTTACGAGCTATCATTGAGAAATGGCGACTGGGGATGGTATAGCGGTAGCCGTTCAATGGAAAAATTAGGAGGGGTTAGCCAAACAGTGTAAAAGCTTTTGTTTCGGATAACTTCGGGATCTTAAGGTCGGAGAGTACGAGGTCAGAGGTCCAGGAGAACAGGACGATCCAAGAGCCACGAGAAGCGCCTTCTGTAACCGATGCTATGTAGCTTTCAGGAAGCTCACGATTGTGTCCCTCGGGAATAGCCAAGTGGACAATATAAAAGGATGCCCTCAGCTTCCCGACCCTGGAGGCAGGAGAAAATCAGATCTCGGGACGGGAGAATAACGAATTCTATGAGAAACTTCTCGTCTGGTGCTGAACGATACTATTCGCGGATTGAAAAGACAGTCAGAGCGAGAATGGGCATTTCGACCGAAGAATTTCAGCGCTTGGCTTCCGGGTTTACCGGAAATGTATGTTTTGACCCGGACAATCTCTCCGAGTGATTCTTATGCTTTTTCATCGCTTCAAAAAGGACCTTGATACATTCTCACAAAGGCGAAGGTAAGGGTCAAGGGATGCAACAATAAATGAAAAGCTTAAGAAAAACGAATTACAGTAACCCTTTCGTGGCTAGGAGTAAAATTTAAAAAATATATATATAAATTTTCGAAATACTCATTAATTCACAGTAATGACAATTTTTTTTTTTTTCAATAAAAATACGCGTCCCAAAATGACCTAAATTTTTTCTTTTTTCACGCGAACCACCATTCATCCCCTTTTAATGATCATCCCTCTATACGTCCAATGCAATAGATACCAAAGTCCCAAGCTTGAAACTGAGTTGTATTACGCCCGAGTGGTTGCAGGTTAATCCCGCCTTGAAGTTTTCCCGTAAGCCGAGCAAAGTTCGCGAGCATGAGGTACAACGCCGTATATATACACGGTCACATGAAACATATAGCGCACATACGTGTTTCCATATATAGTACATAGAGAATCCGGCGAGCAATTTACATGGCAACGATGCCTCCCACTAGTCGGCTATTTATTTGTATCCTTTGCACATAGACATTTTACACTGCCAGCCTGAGAGAGTGCAATGGGATATATTCTAAAGGAAGGCTGAAGGTTCCAAAGGTTTCCCGCACACAACGCACACGTGTACAGTAGAATTCAATGCGGAAGTGAAAAACGACAAATGGCGTTGCCGCCCCCTGACAGAATTTACGTTCATGAAAAACATTACGCAAGCAACGTACAAGAATCTTCCTAACCGTATACGCTGAAAAGATATACACAGGGTACAGAGAGTTTCAAAGCTCGAAGAAAGTGACTCAAACTGTTTACCTCTTTGAGGAAAAACTTTAGCTCGGATCAGCTGCTCCCTTTCGAACTCTTTTATATAAGTTTGATATCCACGTTAAATTATATATATATAGGACGAACTACTTTTCCGAAGGAGCAGTGGATTCTTGGAAAAAGTTGACTACTTTTCAAAATATACTTCAGCACTTCGAGCTACTTTGTACGAGACCCGACCGAGACTTCTGGTCGCATTAGAATCTCGTTACGTAAGGAACATTACTGAAAAAGATGGCGGATACTCGAAAGGACTCAAAGTGACGGTCGTGTAAAAAAAAGCAGAGAGAGAGAGAGAGAGAGAGAGAGAGACAACGTTCCCTAAAAGTGGTGATCTGTCTTTCTTTTTTTTTCCCTCCCCCTTTCTCTCCTCTTCCATCTCTCCCTCGTACTTCTCTCTTCGTGATGGATCGATTCACATTTTTTTCATTCTCCAAGCATTTTTATTCCCAATTGCTCGATTACGTCGTACCGGCATTTCCATGGGATTACGTGAGAAATGAAAAAAAAAAAGGTAGCCAACTTGTAAGGAATTACGTCCTTTCGTGATCTCTGTGATAAGTCTGGCTTTGTGGGTTAAGAAATGTCTAAAGTACCAATAGCCCTATAGACTTCATTGATAAATTGACTCACCCGGTATATATAATACATCCTACATAAAAAGGCGTATTGATTCGCGTGTGTATAATTTCCGAATAAAATCATACGAAAAGAACCAACATGGCCGTACTGTGTTAAGAGCAACATAGTATACATACATACGTGAGACTTTTGGTTAACGAGAAAATTCGTAGAAGAGCGAAAGTGCCGCGGCGACTCCTGTTGTTCTCGCTTTGAGTTACGATGGGAATGATCGGGTCAGGTTAGTTGGCAACAGAAGCTGTTCCGGTCTTTATCGGACGAGACCCGCCCGTGGAAGTGTAAGCGAGGCCGCCGGCACGGCTTTATTGATTTCCACATTAAAGGGAAACACCCGTTACAATACGGCCTTGTGCGCCGATACAATGTGCCCTATTGCGAAATGCATAAACTTCGTCATACACCAATCTTTAAATTCGCGTACGAGAAAATGACAACGACCCACGAATTGAAAAATTTAAAAAACTTCGATATGGGTACTGGGACACGATAGCGGCACTAGACGAACTTTAACCTTTGATATCGACTCACTGTAACAATTTCCATTCCTTTCTAACCATTACGAAAATCCCTTATCCGAGCGATGCATTGGTACCGATGTATCAATCGACTGATAATACCGGGGTATCGAGCGTATGGCGTGTAATGGGCGTGCTGGATGAGTGACGTCACGAATCGTTATCGTTAGTGACAGTGGGCCTCGTTACGCAAACGGATTTCCACCGGGTGTCAATAAAAGTTGAATGAAAAATTTACATATATCCATTTCCCGTAACATCCAAAGAATTCCAGCGGAGACATCCGTAAGGACGTTATCGTTCGATTCGTGAATTCTTGATTAACAAAATTTATGATAAGATTCAATCACGATATCACGGACCAAGCGTGATATTGGATTTTTTAATATGATTCTCAATAACTTACCACCACCAGGGCGTGAGTTAGGCCCGTTGACGATCTTGACCTACGGGGTGTCATACCGACGACTTCACCCCTCATGATACTCTCGACGACTGGAAACAGACAAAGGAGCTTTTTTATTGGGCAACATTCTCCTATGAAGCTCGTTAAGAGACGTCGGACGATCTAATGATCCACGGTCGGGATAATGATCGCGATCGTTAAATGACTTACCTCCGTCGCCAATTAGCCGCATTTGTACCAGACTGGGATCCTCGCTGTGATCTTCTAGTACCGTGTCGTCAGTGACGGTGAGATCCTAGAAGGAATGATGGACGTGTCATTAAATGATTCGAAGACTATTTTCAGTTGGACTTTATACAGAGGGAAATATATATGCATCGCGAGATCAAAGGTCTGCCGATCGATGGCTCCGTCGATGGACAAGGTGATCTAACTAGGATCGATCGATCCCCATTTAGTAGGTAAGGATCGTAGATCTGTGATGGTTGCGTCGTTGTATTGCGAAAGACACGAAAAGAGTATAGTCACGCAATGTCTCTGTGCCAACGTAGACACCATTGGGAATTGCATTTGTTATCAAGGTCACGTACTTACAAGGCATGTCAATGGACTTTCGATCATAGTCTAGGTCAAAGGTTAGTAGTTCGCAGCGACATTTATAGAGCCATTTGGATACGGTGAAATATTTACGTGTGGGATATCGTGTAGACTCTGTACGTTATTAGAACTGACCAATGTACGTGTACAAGCGATGTGTCTAATCACGTGTCACGTGTGAGTGATGTATCAGTAAACAAAAGTGGAGAAAAAAAAAACATGGCGGTTATAAGCCATGACGGTTCATGAATCATCGTGAGAATTCTATACTTGGTAAAAGTTTGTTTCACGAAAAGTCAAGTTTGTATGGATCGATTGGTCTCTGGGGGAGGGG